CTAGCCTCCCCAGGAGCACAGAATTATTTAAGCAAAGGATAAGTTGTGGTTTCTAACTGAAAAGATGTTTACAAGCAGAGTACAAAAGGCTGGGGTGGGAATACTTTGGGATAGATATGCCAGTTTGTCCTGAGTGTGTTATACCAGGTAGAATTTAACAACATTGCACATACTTTAAAAATAATTAGGTTTCTTAAAATTGAACTTGTCTATTAAAAAAGTACTGAGAATATTTTGCATTTAATTTTTCCCCTCTACATTGAGAGAGAATATGATTTCTTTTAAGAAGAGCAGTATAGCAATAGTGATCAACAGCATGGACTGCTCTGGGTTTAGGTGCTGGCCCTGATGGTTATTGGGTGACCTTGGGTATGTCACTTATTCTCTCTGTGCCTCATCTGTGAAATGGAGATGGTACTAGAGCCTACCTCATGGGTTTGCTGTAAAGATTGATGAGTTTGTTTATATGAAATTCCTTTAAAAAGTCCCCGGTCTGGTACATGTTATCAGAGTTAGCCACAATTCCTATTATTACTATTGGAGGACACCAGACTTCCTCAGGAACAGGGCTCCATTCATGCGTTATTCAATAATTATCTATTGAATTCTTGCTGTGTGCCAGTGCTGTGCTTCCTTCTAGGATTGCAAGAGTAAACAAAATAGACAAGGTCCCAGTATTCAAGGAGCTTGGAGGGGATGGGGGATGGGGAATGGCGAGGGGGGGCAAGGAGGTTCTTAAATGTAGAACACCTTAGTTGGTCCGAAGGTTGTGGGTTATTGTTAAGCTAATTAAATGTAGAACACCTTAAACGTGAAACAATTGTGATAAGTAAGGTGCTGTGAAGGTAAAACAGGGGAAGGAAGGGCGTATAACCTAGTCCAGGAAGGAAGAAGCTCCCTGTGTATGAGACACTATATTTGAGATCTGAGGTTCACTAGGAGTTACCAATGAAGTGGGGAAGGAGTGCAGAGGCAGAGAAGGGCAAAGATGGCACTGAAACCAGATCATGCAGGGCTTTGGAACCAGGCTGGGGAACCTTATTCTAAAGGCAATAGGAAGCCATTTATTGTTTTCCAGAAGGGGAGTCACAAAACCCAACTTGCATTTAGAAATGACTGTCTGGCTTTAGTAGGATGAATGGATTACAGGAGAAGTGTTGTGTTGAGGCTGTTAGGATACTTTTACCAAATCCATGTGAGAGGTATGTTGGATAGGACTAAGATGGTAGCAGTAGAGATGGAGATGGAGAGGAGTTGATGAATCTGAGAGATATTGTGCAAGTAGAATCCACAGAACTTGTTCTAGGTTAAGAATCCAAGCATCTTCTTCTACCATACACTTGTAGTTTTCTCACAAAATAGGGACTGACAGGAAGAAATTAAACAAATGAACAAAAGGATAGAGTTAGAGTAATTTTAGCTTCCCTGTGGCTTCTTGATTAATTTTATGAGGTCCCTCATTTCTTTTTCCCAAAAATTAAGGTGATTTTAAAGTTTAGAGAGCTACCTCTGACAGAGTAGAAACTACAGTTTTCTGTGTTCAGATATAAAGTGGTCTTTTACAAAGATAATGTGAGGAGAGCTCCAATCACAGGTATGTCACTTACTGTGTATATTGTTTATTAATATAAATATTCTCATACCTTACTTTCCTCACATGCAAAAAGAACATACTAAAGCTGACCTCACAGAGCTGTTATGAGAATTAAATGAAAAGATATGTGATATACCAAATATAAATCTGAAACATAATAGGTACCTAATAAATCATAACTTAGTATTATTATTAAATTTAGTCAATATGATAGCACTGATAGAGTAAAACAGACTGAAGACATTGAATGAGTAGAAGATGGGACCTTTGCTGACCTTTCTGGTTCTGTCGTCTTCTGGGCACATAGTAGGATTCCCCTTCTTGGTACCCTGTGGCTGGATGTGGTCATATGACCAATTCTGGCAAATGAGCATCTAATGGAAAGACCCTCCAGAACTCTGGCAAAGTGCAAGATGGTGGCTACTCTATCAGCCTGGGCCCATGTGTGACTATGATGAACACAGTCCCTCCCCCTCCCTGCTGGCTTTCAATGGATGTACTCTGAGCAAAAAGTAAGTCTTTGTTAAATTAAGCCACTCAGCTCTTGGGATGTTTGTTACTGCAGCAGAACCAAGCCAATCCTGATAGATACAGGGATGAAAATCAAGTTGGAATTATGCTCGGAGTAGATGTTGGTAGGCAGACTTTGAAAGAATTGAGAACCAGACGCATCTGCAAAAAGCCTACAAACAAGAACTGTAGGAAGATAAGACCAAGAGCCAAAACCAGCACATTTACCAGAGGTTAAAGAACAAGTGTCATTCATACTAGGCATGCCGGTTCATAAGGCCCTATGAGGGCTTTCCTGTCTCAGTGAATGGTGTCACATTCACCACATGCTCAAGTTAGAAACCTGGGAGGTAGACTCTGGTCCCTTTTCCTCACTGCTCTCATTCATTCTATCAGGATGTTCTTTTATTTGTTCTTCCAAAATATATCATTAGGCTCACTCCTCTCCTTCATCATCACAGCCCTTACCTGGTCCAAGCCTCTCACTGTCTCACCTAGACCTCCTGATTAGTCTTCCTGCATCCGTCTCGGCTTCTTACAATTCAGACATGCAACCCAGTGCATCTGGAGTATACTTTTCTCAACACAAATGTACTCATATCACACATTTACAGTGCACCCTGGCTCCAGTTTAAAACACTTCAAACATTCTAATTAATTAATCAACAAAATCCCCATTATGGCCTAATATGTCCTTGTGTGGGCTGGCCCTACCTACCTACCCACCCCTTCTCACTAGCATTTTTTTGGTTCTACGTGGGTGTCACACTCCAAGCCTTTGTGTATATGTTGCTCCCTCTCTTTGGAAGGCTTTCCCCCTTCCCTCTGCAGCTCCTTCCAGCCCCTTCTCATGCTTCAGATTTTGACTTAGGTGTTATTTCCTGAGAGAGTCGTTCCCCTAACTTCACACAAGTAGCCCTATCCCCCGATGTTATTCTTCATCTCAGCCCCTTGTTTGTCTCTTTCAAAGTCCTCATCACAAGTTTCCTTGTTGGGTCATCTCACTCCATCACTAGAAGGGAAGTTCCGGAGGGCCTATATCCCTTGCATTTGGTGCAGTGCCTGCTATTATTGGCACTCAATACATTTATAAGTTGAGTGAACAAATGAGGGAGAAATGGCAAGTAGAGGCATTTAGAATACAGGGCAGAAATAAGAATCATCAGAAGAGCTTTGACAGGATAAGCAACCAGAGAAGACTAGGATATCCAAGAGAAGCTGGAGAAAAGAGTGGGGCCCATGTCACAAATAGAAACAAGGAGTAGGAGGAAGACAAGATTCCTTTCCACAGAGCTAAGTTGGCCAAGGTGAGGATTTGCCAGAATTCTGGGGATTGAACAGAAGAGACTGTCTTCCTCTAGAGTCTAGAGGAAAGAAAGGGATCTAGAGCTGGGCTTTTTAGACTATCTTTGCTGACAGACTAATTTTTTAAACGTTAGTTCACAATTTATTGTGAACTAATATCTTCATAAAATAAAATTGAAATGAATTATCAGAGAAATTATCATACTCTTAGATGTAATGGCAATGTCACTTGCTATAAAATGTCTAGACATGTACTTTCCAGTCCCTTATCTCGTCATAAGCTGACAGCAGTCCTTAGACCACACTTAGAGCAGCATCTACCTGAAAGGGCCCTGGCCATGGTGGCCTAAGAGATGGTGGACAGCAGGAGACCAAGGGGACTGATGATGTCATTGTGAATTGTATTTGAAAGAGTAAAGACCTCAGTTTGGGACCAATTCCACTCCCTAATTTGCTGTACGAACTGATGAGCCACTTGCTGTCTGAGGCTCCAGTAATGTAGGGAGTTTGGCCGAGCTCTCTAAGCTGTATATCATTGTTTCTGAAGCAACATGGGCCGCAAACAGAAGGCATGGGCACAGATGCATAGTCATTTGGGCTGGAATAGAAAGATCTCTAAACACCTGTAATCTGAGCTGTTATCTGTAAATGTTCTATTCTCTCAAACCTCCTTCTGTGTACAGTAAGCATGTGTTTAATAATGTGACATTGTTCCAATTACTACACTAATCCTATCACTATTACTATTCTGTAATTGGGATGTAGCATATTTAATTGCCTGAAAATTAAAAATTGCTACAGAATAATATATTGCACAGAAAGGAAATGGTGTAAATTAGTTGGGGTGTGGAAGCCCAAATATGTTATTAATAATGTCCCCTCTTCCTCTTTTTAAGGGGAGAGAAAAATTTTCATATCTTTTACTATATTTATGCTGGTCTTTATCACCAAAAGAAACTTTCTGAGTTCAGACTTCCTGAGGAAAAGCCTCCTAGGTAAGTGTTGGGGGTTTTGATTGTTACCTTTTAATGGATATATAAATAGCAGTTGACAAAATTTGGGAATAAATGGGGCTGTTTTCCTAACTGGGCATTCATAGTCTCCAGCTGAAATACTCAGGATGAGATGGCAGGGACTACCTCTCACCATTTGCATTTTCTAGAATGTTCAAAACTCAACTGCAGGCATTTTACTCAGCCTTGTACACCATTAATCCACCGAGTACGAGGGATGCCCCTGCAAAGGACCCTGATGATGACCTGGTGTTTGGGGTGCCATTTACCAAGTCAGTGATTGCTCTGTTTGGTCACACTCCATTCAGGTACATAGCTGATGAGACTGGAAGGGTGATGCATGACATAACTTCCAAGGAGTCTTACAGAAGACAATTCGAAGCCATTCAGCATTGTTTCAGGATTATAGGCTTCACGGACAAGGTAAGCGATTGTCAGGAGAGAAGGAAACTCAAGCGTTAATATTCTTGGATCAATGTGATTAACAACTTGAATGTTCCAACTTGGGGCAGGTTACTTGCTTTTCAGATACCACATTGGTCATGTTATAAGGTGTCGCTACTCAGAGTGACCCAAGGACCAGAAACACTGTCATCACCTGAGAGCTTGTTAGAAATGCAGACTCTCAGGTCCACCCTGAGTCAGAACGACTGAATCAGAATCTGCATTTTAACAAGCTGCACAGAGGCACATAAAAGTGGAAGTGCTGTTGTAAGTGCCACTTGCCTATGAATTGTTGTCACTGTCATTCATTCACTACAGCTGGGATAACAAAATAATACAGTGGTCCCTCGGTTTTCGAATGTAATCCGTTCTGGAAGACCCTTCGAGGTCTGAAACACTTGAAAACCAAGGGATCCATAGCCGACAGCTGGGCCTCAGGATCCTGCCCTCAGCGGGAGCCACGTGGTGTGTTCGACTTCCGAGGCGTGTTCGGAAACCGAAGCGTTTGTGTCCAGGTTTACAGTGCTCGGAAACAGAAATGTTCGTCAAAGGTGCCACTGTACTGCCCTTTTCTGAGCTGGGGTTGTTCTAGCCATTACAGTGGACTGTGTAACAGGAGTACAGGAAATGCAGGTTACACCCAAGCCACAGAAATATATTTATGCAAGTAGTTCCTTGAGCACCTAACAAGTTCATTTAAACCTTTCAACTTGCAGTCACTTCCTTCTCCATGGTACAGAGCTGCACATTATTAACTGTAGCTCAAAGTCCTGTACCCCCCTTATCGTACTAGATACAGGCTATCTCTATTAAATATATGCTAGAGGTGACAGAAAGTATTTATAACCCTAGGCTCTCAAATATTATTCTGTGATACATTTATGCCATAGTTTCTGGGCTTCATGCCATCAATTTTGCAAAATATCCAGATTCTTTTGCTCTTCCAACAAAGGAGGTGAATGATTAGGAGGTAGGTGAGAGTGTTAAATCTTAAGGGATTAGATTACAAGACACTTGAGTTACCCTGGGACAGCCATTCTGGATAAAGGATTGCTTCTGTAATCCAATGAGTTTGGTCAGCCCTTCCCTCCCCAGCACTGTTGATTTTAGTCGTAATAATACCTTTCTTCTTTCTAGCCAGCTGTTAATTTTCTCTGTCAGCCTCCCACGGACTTTAAACTGTCAGACAGTGGAAAATCCCAAAGGTCAGATAAAAATAGAAATCTATTTCCCTTGGCTCCTTAGAGGAGAGCAATTAAACACGTTCCAGCATTGTTAAAGGACCTTTATGGTTATTAATTTATAGAGTTGTTGTTATCAAAGATGCAAGGTAGAGATGGCAGTCAAGCCATTTAAAGTCCTAGGCCATGCCAAAGTGGTTAGGGGCATACTTCCTGAAGAGTACAGGAGCAATAGAGAAGTTAGTCACAGGGTTAATACTATTTTGCTTTCAATGAGGACAGTGATAGTTATAGAATACTATGAAGAGATTGGTCCTAACTCTAAATGAAAGTATATAGTGGTGCTGTTCTAATAATACAATTGTACTGCAAATAATAATAAAACACATGCTGTTTTAAGATAAAGTTAAAAACAAAAGAAATTAAATATGCTATGTCTTCTTAAATTAAGCCATCCTAACTCCTGTGCAAAAAAAAAAAAAGTATAGAAATTCCTCGCTAGTTGTGGTCTGTAAGCCTCACACTGTATTGATGGAGGTAATGAGATGCTATCATGTTAAATCCAGGCCAGTCTCAGAAAACTCATTTGGTAGATGTTCCCTTTAGTCACTTGTAAGTTGTGTGATTAAAACAATGCTTCTTGACGTCAGAAACATGACATCTAGCATTTGATTTAGAAGTTTAACCAACAATATTTATCTACAGTAGAGCCTGGTTTAAAATCCTCATTTGTCTTGGTAGTATTATCAGGTATCCAGCAGATGTCACTAGTACAGTCTGTGTTCGTGTTTTCAGCTTTACTGAGTAATGTTTACAGGAAGGCTCAACTGGGGACAATGCTTTATCAGTGGTCTAATGACAGTTTCTATTAGTTTGCAGCTATGTGCGGTACTAAATCAAGTCCCCCAGCACAGTATTTTTGGTGGAAGTACTTTTCTCTATCTATAAGCATAAGATGTGGAAATTTCCTGGCTGTACATGTCATTGTCTCACCTATAGGAATGCAAATGTTTAAATTAAAAAAACGTTATGTTTCACCATTAATGCTACTTATGTATTCAATTTCAATATAAAAATAGGACTGAAGATCATCTGAACTGTTTTTACAACATTTGTGACACCAAATATGTGCAGTTTTCCCCCGAGACCAACCAATTCCCCTACAATTGAACTCTGACACTGTCTCCCTGGAGTTAGCATCAGATCCCACAAGTTAGGGGCTCATTCCCACAACACTGCCCCTACTTCGAACACCAGTCGCAAGTCCCAGGGTTTTTCTACTTCTGCCTGACTGGCTATAAATTGGGTTCCCAAGAACCCCTCCTCAGGTTCAGTAATTTGCTAGGACTCCCAGAACTCAGGAAACAGTTTACTTACTGTTAACATTTACTTATCATAAAGGGTGCAACTCAGGAACAGCTAAGTGGAAGAGATGCACAGAGCAGGGTATTGGGAGAGGGGGCACCACTTCCTCTCACCAATTTCCTGTGTTCACCAACCCGGGAGTGCTCTGAACCTTATCAATGAGGGGTTTTAATGGAGGCTCTATTACATAGACACGGCTGATTAAATCATTGCTGTTGGTGATTAACTCAGTCTCCAGCCCTTCTCCCTTCCCTGAAGGTCCAGGGTTTGGCTAAAAGTTCTAACCCTTTAATCACAGGGCCAGTTTCTCTGAAAACAAGCTGCCATCCTCCAAGAGTCACCACATTAGGACACACTCAAGTGTGGTTGAAAGGGGCTTATTATGAATAACAAAGGACATGCCTCTCATCTGTATCACTCAGAAAATTTCCAAGGATTTTGTGCCAGAAATCCCTATGAAGACCAAATACTATATACTTGTTATATCACATTATCACAGATAATTTCTATTGTGCCTTTCAAAATATTTCCTCACCTCATTCATAACTATATACTCCATCATTTAACTTCAAAATGTTCTAGTGAGCCATTAACGAATGCCCTGCCAACTATTTCATAAGAGCTATATTCAAAAGAGGTTAAGGAAGCATCTCCTTTCTTATTTTGAAGAAAAAACTGTACCTGAACTTGGAAGCTGGTATTAGTTAGAGTAAATGGATAAAAGTAGCTTAAAGAACAAAGAAGATCAGTTCTCTCTTACAGCATTCCAAGGTAAGAGGTTCAATTTGCAGAACAACTCCATTTCATGCAGTCATTGGTCTTGGGCATCCTAATTCATGGCTTGGTTGAGTCTGGGTGGCTGGGAGTTCCTGCCAGCAATACGAAGAAAGCAAGCAAGAGGCATGCTGGCTTCCATAAGGCCAGGCCCAGAAATGGCCCACATCAGCCCACTTGCTCCTTTGTTAAGAATTTAATTACATGGCCACACCTAACTACAAAGGAGGTTAAGGAATTTGCTTGTGTACCAGGAAAAGGGGAAGGGTGGACTTTGGCGACAATGAGCAGTTTCCACCGCAGTGCTAGTGCTTCATTGGGTTTGTTAGTAATCACCTTCAAACATGGTTCCCAATGTCTTTTTCAGGAGGTGCACTCAGTGTATAGGATTTTGGCTGGGATTTTGAATATTGGGAACATTGAGTTTGCAGCTATTTCTTCTCAACATCAAACCGATAAAAGTGAAGTGCCCAATGCTGAAGCTTTAAAAAATGGTAATTATTTGGTGCCTGTACACTGTGTTGCCAAAGTACATCTTTCACTTAGGTTTTTAAGACTCTGTAAAAGATGGAGCAGCTGCTGCTGGTTCTTCTGCTGGCTCTGAGTGTTCTCACTACCCAGTATTTCCCTAACAATGTCTTATAGAACATCAGTGTTCTTTCCATGAGCTGAAAATAGGTGTCCTGCAGAGAAGAATCCCATGGCAGGTAACTTTGGGCCATGGTTCTCAACACTGGCAGCTTTTGAAAATCATCTACAAGTTTTTGAAAATAATACAGAGGTTGGACCCCACCCTGAATCCACTGAATCAACAACTGCAAGGGAGAAAGCAGGCACTTAATTACTTTTAGCGTTACAAGTAATAACGGTGGCAACAAGGAATGAGAATCCTGAGTTTAAAAAAAAACTTGTTTAAATCAAATTAATACCTTTGGTGTTAAAGTATAGCACTTTTTATGGCCTTTAATATACTAATGTGTGTTGTGACTCTCTAAGAGGAGACTATAGTCACCAGAAATTGCTCTAACTTACCTGACCAATGCTACCTCCTCCCACTTTTTAAAATCTAACACCTGGGCAGAGCTTTTGGAACAGTTTGGGAGATACTGCATCAGTCTGGATGCTTCTCGGGTTAGGAACCTGGCTTGTTTATCTTTGAAGTGCTAAGGATAGAGTCTGGCACATAGTAGATGTTGAATAAATACTGGCTGGCTGAATGAATGGATGGATAGGCTTATTCTCCAGTGTCATCCTTGCCCTTTGTTCCAGCTGCCTCTGTTCTCTGCATCCGCCCTGAAGAGCTGCAGGAGGCCCTCACTTCTCGTTGTGTGGTCACCCGAGGAGAGACCATCATCCGTGCCAACACTGTTGACAGGGCCGAGGATGTCCGAGATGCCATGTCCAAAGCCCTGTATGGGAGGCTCTTCAGCTGGATTGTAAATCGCATCAATACACTCCTGCAGCCAGACAAAAACATATGGCAAGTTCCCCCAGGGAGCAGAGTTCTCCGAAGAGCTGTCATCAACCCTGGGGTCTCAGATTTTACAAGAGAAAGCATTCGGTCCTCTCTTGGGTTTTCTTTAGCAAAGCTCTTAGGTCTTCTACTTTTAAAAATGTATTGGGATCCAGGAGAGCGGAACTGGTCATACCTGAAAGGCAGACAATTGGCAGAGCCAGGGCAGTGTAGTGTTTAAGAGAACAGGCTTGGCTTGGAGCTGGACAAACAGGATTTGCATCCAAGTTCTACAGCTTAATCAGCTGCATGTTCTAAGTGATGGTTTTCTTATCTGTAAAATTAGGATAATAATATTCTCCTTATCGTGTTGTTTTAGAATCAACTGAGACATTTCATGAAAAGTGTTAAAGCACATTATTACCACTACTACCTCTATTGTGGGCGGCAATTGGAAGAATGAATGAGCAGCAGCTCCAGCCCATTCAGAGTGGTTTCTCTTTAATCTCTTTCTATATGGAGCTGATGAGTAAGACTTTAAGAGATTCTAGTGCTTTTAAAAAGAGTTGGAAGTATTGTTGAAAGACTAAAGGAACAAATGGTTTAAGACACAAACTGTTTCTCCCTTAGAGGCAGCAGGACACTGCTTTCCATGGGAGGGTATATGAATTGATAAATAGTGGGCACATATATCTCACCATCCTCTGAGATGAGTGTTTCCTTCCCTGAAAGGTTGTATTCTCTCTCATGCAGTAGTGCGGACGATGGTATGAATGTGGGGATACTGGATATTTTTGGATTTGAGAACTTTCGGAGAAATTCATTTGAGCAGCTCTGCATAAACATCGCCAATGAACAAATCCAGTACTATTTCAATCAGCACGTTTTTGCTCTTGAGCAGGTAATAGTGAACTCTGAAGTCAGTAAACCAAGCTGCCCACAATTTGAATCAGAAACCCTGTTAGTCAGGCTAATAGGTAAAAGGCTCTAAAGAAAACAAAACAAAACCCCAAAACAGAAAAAACCCACTGGTGAGGCCGTCCTGTCAAAATAAATCAATGGTCTAAATTCAGCCTGAAAAAAACAAAGAGGCCTTGATTTTTGTGGAAAGGTACATTTCCTCCCTTGAGTGGAGCTGGTGCCAAGTCAATTATTTAAATGTGTCTCCCAAACTGTTTCATGTGTATTGCCCAAAATGCTGGGTTTTCCTCTACTTTATTTAACTAAAAATATCTATGATCATGTCCAAGATGACACGGAATGATCTTGAATTCAGGACACATGTTCTTGTTCTTAACTCTCAAACTGGTCCTCCCCACCCCCCACCTCCTGCTCACTAGATCCCACAGGAAATGGATGGGTGTCTCTGGGGAAAGGAAGATATGTTATTAGTTTTCTGACATGGAAGTCTTTCCCCAATGAGTTTACTAGTAAATAAAACAGTCTGTGAAGCTACTTGGACCCTTCTCCTCCACCCCAGCCCCAAGGCTCTCCCAGATGAAGTAGTTGCAATAATGAAACATTCTGGCCAAGCCCCTTGTTTTAATGCAGAAGTGAGGACACACAAACTATAATATGATTAGAGAAACACAAAGACATGGACTAAAAATGCCAGTATTGGTTTTATCACTGGGTCTGGATAAATCCATACTGCACTCCTCTCCCTACCCACCCTGGACAAACCTCGACCTGTTTCAGTCCAAGTTCCATCCATTTATTTCCCAGGGAAATCTGGAGTTTTTCTAGTTTTTCAGCCCCAGGTGATTCCCTTGCAGAATCCTTTGCAGAAGATAGAAGTCTGCTTTCTCTCTGCTTTAAACCATACTTGTCACCAAAATAAATAAAATTTTTTTTAGCTTCTCCTCTTTTCTACATCAGTTTCTAAATTATAAGTTGTCAAATCATTTTTGGGAGACAGGCAGCCATCCCTTCATTTGCTAGCTTTAGCTGCCTACCCAGGCCACCCGTAGGTCAGGCTTAAACCCAAAGCTTTAACAATGTCATATGCAGAGGAGTCCTTTACCAACATAAAACACACCCTGTTTTCCACATGTGCTCAGTGTTGCCAGACAAAGAAAGTTCATGCCAAAGCAACCTAGTGGTTGGTACCTAGGCCAGTTTGGGGCTGGAGAGATTCATTCCCGTTTCCTTCCAGATGGAATATCAGAATGAGGGCATTGATGCTACGCCTGTGGACTATGAGGACAATCGACCACTCTTGGATATGTTCCTCCAGAAACCCCTGGGACTACTGGCACTTCTAGATGAGGAAAGTCGGTTTCCCCAAGCCACTGATCAGACCCTGGTTGGTAGGTGTCTTTTGGAAAGGCATATACGCTCGGAAGAGAACTTGGCTTATGTCATCAAATGAATATGGTTCAGTGGACCTGTCCTGTGTACAACCTGGTGGGTTGTAAAAGTGTAGACCTTGCTTTTAGTGAATTAAAATGTCCAGCAAATGTCCTGGTAGAATTTGTATCTTAAGTCTCTCACACTCTCCCCACTATCCATTTGCTGCGAATGGAAATACTGTTACCCTATGTCAACATCATTTTTATACACTCTCCTTGTTTCCCATAACCACTTGCTGCCCTCCATTTCGTACCTTCCTCTCATATCTCCCCCTGACCCCTCTTGTGCCTCTAATCCAAGTTTGTATACAAGCCCCTTCTAGTCTCCTGGCTTCCAGGCTTCTACTCTCCCCCTCTAGCTAATTTAGTCTGTTTAAAGCCATCTTTTCATTGGGCTACATGACAATAAAACACCTACTCCTGGCATGAAAGGCCCTCTTCCTCCTGTTCCCCTTGACCTCCTCCTTCTCAGATCTTCAGTGTTGCACAGGGCCCTGGCCCTCACTTAGATTGTGAGATGCTTGAGGCAGCAAAGCTCAAATCCTTGCATCCCTTTAGTACTTCCTCCATTCCTCACACGAGGTGGCTCTCATCACAACAATAGCAAAGTGGATTGTTGAGGGAGAACAGAAAGTTTCAAGCCTTTTCCCCAGATGGAAAATTGATTTGTGGGAGAGAGATTCACTTCTAGGGATTGAGATTGTCACCCTCATTGGTTTCGTGTTACCTATAAAATTGTTGCAAGTTGCCAGGATGAGTATTTGCCTTCCACGGGAAATCTTCATGGTTCTGAAGCTAATTTGCCGACCTCTGGTGTCATCAGTGTCCGTACTCCATGCTGGGAGTTCTTAGAGCAGAACATGAGATCTCAGAGTACGGCCTGACACTAAAGACAACGTGAAACAACCAAATGAGTGCTGTATTGTGAATGCCCACTTCACTGGAGGACCTTTCTCCACCACATACATACAATGATAATATCAGGCTCCTCTGAAATCTTTTGTTCTGGGTCACTCACGGTTCAAGGAGCAAGTTTTTGTTTGACGGAGGAAACAATTCATGTTGTAACCTTTAAACATGAAAATCCACACAGATAAATTTGAAGACAACCTACGCTGCAAATACTTCTGGAGGCCCAAGGGAGTGGAGCTGTGCTTCGGCATTCGGCACTATGCGGGAAAGGTGAGACGAGTGGGGGTTATTAATCCCCGATTTGACGAGGGGAAAGTGTCCCTATTACCCTGTCTGTGCCACTCATGAAATTGCTTGCAGACTTCTGTGTCCTTTTAATTCTTCTTGAACACCTAATCATAGCTCCCAAACTTTCTCAGTGGTGCCACTCACAGAAAGTTGCCCCTGGTGCACAAGCAGTTTCTCACGGGTGGCTGGCGAGCTGCCATCTGCTCCTCACCCAAGGTTTGGCCTGGAAGTGCCAGCTCTTTAGAGAGAAAACATATTATAGTTTTCTCAGTGTTTAGCGGTGAATGTTCACATTCAAAAGTCATTTGGAGATGTGTAGGTAAACGGAGGAGAGTTAATGTCACAGTGGGGCTCCATTTTTAACATTTGGAGTATATGTCTACAGACACCAAACGTGTCTACATGAAAAGGAAAAATAATTTCACTTCGTCATCTAGATGGTAAGCTTTTATAACATTAACCAAAACTTCTCCTTTTCATGACTATGCCTCAGCCTCAATTTCAGGTTCCTGATGTAGGTTAGCGACTGATTCAGGAAATTCTCTAGTCCCGTAGCCAACAACTCATTGCTCAAATTCCTCTCAGAGGAGACATTTGAATTATGGCTAATTGGTTCTGGTGGGGTCTGCTGAGGCCCTGGGTCCAAGAAATAGGTAGGAGTTCAATAAAGGGCATTTTGGATTTGAGATTTATTGAAATTATTTCTCAAATTCATATCATGACATTAAAATAAATTTTGCTTGACTGAAGTTTGGTTGAAAGGCAATCTAATACACGTGAAAGGGCAGATAAATTTTCTTCTTCCTATCTAGGTTCTTTGGCTGGTTTAATAATTAAATTGATATAAGATACATTAACAGGAGAAAAAAATGTAGTTATGTATGTACAGCATCCCAATAAAATATGAGACCCAAAGGGCAGCTAGGCAACTGCAGCTTATATAACATCCTGAGCTAAGGAAAGGAGTAGGGGCCTGGGGATGCAAAGGAAGAAGGGTCATTCAGAGGAAGGCGGAGGGGCTGTTCAGAAAACGAAAGTTTGCCCTGTGTTGCAGACAAGTTGCTTAGATAAAATCTCTGGTACTAGTTTTCTTCCTGGTACAGGCCCCCTTCCAACATAAATTTAGGCATTTGAGGGGGAAGAAAAAAGAGCTTTTCCTGATTCTTCTAGGTTTCGATTGCTTTTAACTCAAAATATTTGGGGGTCACTTATTCTGAACCCCTTCACAAGTAAAGGGGATTGTCTTTCTTTCCACATAGTACATGATGGCATCTATTTTGCACCTTTGGAGGAAATTGGAATCCAGTGTCTGCCTGTAGGTTCTTCATGTACCTTTGATGTCTGCTTATTAACGTCAGGCCCATTTGATACCCACATGGGCCTGATCCTCCCTCCCCCATTCTTCTTACCTGTCTCCCATTCCTCACACCTCTCTCCCTCTCTGTCCTTTTATACCTATGTCTTACCCACCCCTTTCCTTCCCCACTTCTCCCTCTCCTTTCTTGACTTTAAGGAAAAAAGGGATTCTTTTCTTTCTGGGTTGTGTCCTTTCCTGAATTCATTTGCCACTAACACTTATTTCTCTGGAGTGTTCCTTAAAATCTCTCTGGCCTGGATCCCCTC